CAAGTTCGTATAAAGAACCTATCTGTTCGTCTGTGAGAACATCATTTAGCATGTACACAGCTGTCATTTGTCCCCGAAAGCAATTATGCAAACCACTATTAGGAACTGAAGATGATGCATTTGAGGAAATATCATCTAAATTTGTCAACGGTTGTATGGCCGGAGAGGCACCAATAACACAATTATTAAAAGACTGAGAATTATAGTCCGCTGGATATTCCAAACGATCTTTGAATTTAATGTTCCCATCAACAACTACCTTCAATTCTGAAGGTGTTGTAGTCCATCCTTTCTTCGTTGGATAATGTACAATGGCAATAAAATACCATCTCTTTTGTGTGAATTTGAAATTTGTCATGGTAACAGTTGATATAATATCGCCTTTCTTACATCGAAAACAGAGGGAATTGTTCTCAAAATAAGCTTCAATTCCTTCACCAGCTTCCGTAAAAAACGAAAATAACCGTGGTACATATCCACCATGTTCCATACATCCCTTCGAAGATGTCATTGCGTCCATCTTAATCCAAGTAAAGAATGAATAACCATTAACAGGAAACTTTTCAATAGTGGACAATTCTATTCCAGATTCGATTCCTTTGAAGTAAAAAAAATTCATTGTATTTTGTTTCTGAGAAATGGAATATAACAATTTCAAAAGAGCACCCTGATACCAAGCCGGATCTTGATGATTTGTTGCCTCTTCGTTCTTGTTGCAAATCATATTCAAGATTAATTTGACATCAGATACTTTGACAGAATATGAACACACAATTTCCAAAAGCCTCATAGTTCTATCGGCAAAATCATCAATACGCCATGCATTTCTAATAACATTTGTCAGAAGCCTGTTCGTTATATTAGATTTAAACATGATCCACTTGTTCATATCACAATATTCTGCAAAGAATATTAGCCTATCCATAACCTGAATCTTGAAAGAATCTTCCATTAATGGTAAATGTTGCAACATTAATTCCAACACATGACCGTCCCGCATGAAAAGTGCACTGCCATTAGGTTGCCATTCTTCGCTACTAGTTAACAAATTTGTCAGCACTTCGAGAGTCTGTGACTGTGAATGACTACCTTCATTTGTATGTTCTACCTGCAACACATCAGTTGAGACCACAGTATCTAGTGAAGGCAGTGTCAGAAGTATAGTTATTAGACGAATGAATTGAAGAAAGACGAAACCTAACCTCCCGAAAGACGAAACTGACGAGACTCTTGCGAATGACGACTCTGCTGAGGATGAAACTCCATGGTGGAAATAAAAGGTTGTATGTAGTTAGTAGGCGAAACCAATAATTTAAAGTAAATTTTATGTGTGTCGACTTTAGTAGTTAGATACATTAACAATATAACAGCACTAGAATAGATTTTTCCGAACACGTGATTATTGACCAATGGTAAATCATAATTAGTGCAACGTGACACGGTCAGGTGTAACGAGCAAATAACTCCCGCCTTGAAAAAGTTCGAAATTTTACTATCTGATCGAACTCTAGTTCAAATGCTGTTAACTACCATGTTTTGTTAATTCACATGATCGGAGAACCCATCCTGTATGCTAGATTTTCGTCCTCGGTCCTTCGCTATCATGATAAATGCAGTGCACAAGATTAGGGATGGGCTCATGCGCGTGTTGCGCAGAAATTATGAGAGCTTACGCCATTACAGATCTTGTACATTTCATGCACAGGTTGTACAGAAATTACGAGAGCTACGCAAGATATTGCCATTACGATCTTGTACGTACGTTTCATGCGCAGGCTGTGCAACCTGCGCATAAATTCATGATTTTCCCGTAATGTACATACGTACCTGTTTCTTTAACAATAAATCAAGACATTACCGTTACATGTATCGATTAATGTCAAGCAACATTATTCATTTTGCTTATTTTTATAGTAAATAGAAATACTGTAAAGATCTGTTTTTCGATTCCAAACGAAATATAATAAACGGTGGCACATTTACTGTATCACCACTATGAATACCAAGACTTGATAATCAAGATCATACTAATTTTTAATGTGAATCAGTTAAAACATTTAAAGTAATTTATAGACAAATTTTTTAAAATATTGTCATTTTTTAAAAAAGATCTTTATTTTTATTATTTGTATATTACACTTAATCTTGCAAATTTATTAACTAATTATATACTGTAATAATTACTATCAGCTATTGTTAGTAAAATTATATAAATATATACTTTATATTAGTAACTTTTGTCTTTCTTACAACCTCAGTATTATTAAATTAACTGAAAATAAAATCACAAATAACAATACTTATACTAAATTCTATAAATCAATTACTACTAGCTCTATATTAATACTTCTAAAGCTAGTACTGCTTTAATAATCTATAATCAACTTAAATTATATATTTATACAGTAATATTTTTACTTTTTTTAGCTATATTATAGCTATAGATATATTTTTCAAATATGACTTTAAATTAAAATTATTACTGTTTATCTTCTAAACAATATTTTTAACTTAGACTACAAATACAAAACTCTACAATCTAATAAATTAAAATTTTCTTATATTAAATATATAGTTTATTATTATAAAAAATTTTAATACTTCTAATAACAATATATATTTATTGGCTACCAAATATAAAGTTCTTTAGTTTGTTTAATATAATATTATATTTAATTTAACTTTTTAGATCTACTCTTCTTCTTTTATTTAGCATAGTAATAAATACTATAGCTATATATAGTAGATTATATTTAGATTTATTATTCTATTTTCTGATATTTGATATCTTTTAATCTTAAAAACTCTAATATCAGTATCAACAGTAATTACAAGATCTTTGTTTTTTTATAATCTTTCTTTTTTACTTTAACTAATAAATTGTATTCTGCAACTAAAATTCATAAAAGAATCTTCTTTTACAAAAATATAAATAATAATTAGTAGCAAGAATTTACAAACTAAATTACTATTATAGAATCTAACAATATACCCTTATCTTTAATTTTTCAATCTTATTAAAATCAACTTAATACAAATACAAATAAGTATTACTAAAAAATATATATCTAACAAAAATACACTATTATATAATTTTTAATATAAATATGTAATGATATAGTAAATTGATTAAGTTATTACTTCCAAGTAGTATATCAAAAGTTTAAATCTTACTAATAATAAAAATTTAAAATTTTTGCTTGCATTATAACTAAATTGTATTTGGTCAATTAGTTAAAATAGAATACCTGTAGCTACAATTATATCAGCAAAACTAGAAAATCTGAAATATTTGTGCAATAAAATATTATACAAAGAGATGCAAACTAATAATAGACAATACAAATATAAGATAAACCTCTAATATATATAAATCTTAAGAATTGCAAATATAGAAACCTAATTAGCAAGACTCAAATAAAGAAATAGTACAAATCTTTAACAAAGCTACTATAAAGGTTAGATCTAAAAAACAAAATCTAAACAAACTGAACCAGATATAAGACAGATTGTTAGAGAGCATTTACACTAACTAGGCTGCTATAAATAAATTAGAACTATTAATCTAGCTAAAGAGCCTTTAGAGATATTGATATAAAATCTACTAGATTATACTATTAAATAAATACTATCTAAATGCAGAAGAAAATTGCAGAGTAATTAAAATATAACAAATAGGTGAAATTGTTAATATCAACTAGACTACTAACAAATTTAAAAAAAACAAGTATACAAAATCAGACTATCTGAATTAGAAGTTTAGAAAAAGAAAGCAGAAATTACTAAATTATTAGAGATATACTATAAAGTAAATTCTAAGGTCTGAATAAACTCTACAAAAGTAGAAGTAGATTAAGTAATAAAGTTTAAACCAAACTGGAGTTTAAAAGAGAATGGAAACAGAAAAAAGTTTAAAATAGAGAAATAGAACTACAAACAAAGAGCTTTAACCTAATACTATAATATTTTCAAAATAGATAAAACTTGAGCTCATGTAATAAATTATGGTTTATACATACTTTTTTTTTCTACTTAGGCTGTCTTGTCAGTAATCCTTTATTAAGATTATTGCATTACAGGTATAACACAATATTGAGCTTAATATTTAGGCCTGATATCCTGCAATTACTTCAAAAGCACTTATAAGCAACTAGCCGCACTGGGCTGAACTTTCATTAAAGGACTTTGATGACTTAGATTAATGACCAAAGCCAAATAATCTAAGCTAACCCTAGGAGTAGAGATGGGCAAAATGCAGCATTTTAAAAAATTTCATGCAAATGCAGCATTCATGCAGCATGCATGCATTAATGCAATATGCATTTATACAAAAATATTTTATCTAACTTTTTAATTTCATATTTATAATTCTTATAGTAATAGATAATTCTAAAGATTTATTTATAATGCAAACTAACAATAAAGAAAGAAAAAAATCACCTTGTAAAGTATTAATTTAAAAGCAGAAAAGAGGCTATTGAACTTCAAAACTGGCAAATAAAAGCAAACTTAGATTTTTAAATTTTAAATAGTTGAATTTTATTTTATAATAATGTGGTTAGCTATCTTGGCACTTAGTTTAATAAAAATTAACATGCTTGTATTTGTTTGCAATTAAATAAATACTGGTCGTAGTTTGAAACTTAGTGTATATGTTTAGAAAAAATTAAAAATTAAATTTTTCGAATATTATAATGCTTTGCAAAAAGATAATTTTTGTGATGATAATCGAAGAAATTTAGAAATACTAGTGTTTCAATTCTATTTCTGAAATTGTTAAGATTTTTAAAATCTACAGAATCATCGATTTTCACACAACATTGTGATTTGCAGAGGTGACATCTTTTTGCAAAGCGCGGAAGTGATGCCAAGAGAAATCAGAAATCGAACTTGTAAATCTAAACGTTTTTCAAGAATTGAATCCAGTGTTTAAGAGCCCAAAGGTTGGTGTTAGCTTTTCTTGACATTATTCATATATTAAAAAAAAAATTCGTATGTATTAATATGAAAATTTTTTTCCTTTCTAATGTACGTACTATCTGAATTTTGCTCAATTTTCATACATCTATACATATTTATACTATCGTACTGTCCTATTTTACTAAATATCTATTAAAATTTCGCTCAATTGTCTGGTCTGTATGTACTAACTTGTACTACCGTACTGTACTATTTTACTACCTTGATATCTATATGCCGATATGACATAATCTTGAACCGTAGAATCTGAATCAACAGTCACGACTTTCAGTAATTCTTCCAACGAAGATTCTGACGTGGTTGTGATTAGGTTTAAGAGATTCTCACAATTAGCAAGAGTCTTTTTGATAATAAATGAAAGAAATGAGTTTAAAATAACAGATTCAGTTATTAATGCAGAACAATAAAGAATTTGTAAAACTTACGGCTAAAAATTTAAGAACTGGAAAAACAAGGCTATCTATAGATTCATAACTTAACCTACAAAGATCTGATGCAGAAAGATTTCCGACCAATTATTGTTCCCTGTAAATAAAAACACTGGTAAAAAAAAAAAAAAATCTAAAAGGAAAAATATTTAGAATTAACAAGATAAAAATTACTTATGAATGATAGGAATTCCTGTAAGTTTATATTCGGCCATCCTTCGATACACAAAAGTTTCAGAATTTCATACTAAACAAGTTCAAGATCTTGTTAATCAAACTTTTAGACGTACGTACGTATATAACTTAAAAACTGTTCATACTATCATGCCTCGTATAAGAATCCCAATAAAACCTATTATAAAATGAGCTACCTTAGTAAATCATGAAATATTCGTTATACAGTAAGCACACCATTTATTGATATAATATCTGGAACTGCTGCATTCTTTGTTATGCTACATAAATAATGTAAACCATGAAATATTCGTTATACAGTAAGCACATTCTTCGTTATGCCACATAAATAATGTAAATCATGAAATATTCGTTATACAGTAAGCATACCATTTATTGACATGATATCTGGAACTGCTGCATTCTTCGTTATGCCACATAAATAATAAAAAAGACCATTCAAAATAAGAATTAAGAAGGAATTACAATAGTTCAAACAATTTAATGATCAAAATTCTTACCATAAACTTGCAAAATTGGTATTTTAAATATTTCATAAAATTTCTTTCCAATTTATCGCCTAACAGAGCTGTTGTACTTATAATAATACCCATGCTTAATAAATAAGATAGTTGAGCTAATGATCATCGATAAGTTTAAATATAATCAGCGGAACAATATTTTTGAATTGATTCACAAAATGTTTCTACACTGAAGCTTGAAAAAAATAACTATAGTAACGCCCAATAATATCAATGCATAACTCTTGGATTAAAATGACAATATAGTAATAAAACAGTTCAAATATATAAAAACTTAGCACGAATTAAAGTTGCATAAAGAATACTAATCAGTACATAAATCTAAGTCATCTCGTAACTTATTTTCATGATCTTTAATATGCAAAGGTGCTATAGGTGTCGATTAGCTTTTGTATTTTAAGTTAATTCATATATTGCAAGCCTGTGCTTGCTACATTTTACGAATTGGTAAACTTTGTAACAATAAATTTATATTAATAAGTTAATTTAATAAATCTGTACAATAAAATAGCGATTTAACTTACTTTAAGCCTTCAGATTATTGATTGATAATATTTATTCAAGTTACCCATTCAGTAAAAAAAACTTATCGTAATTATGATGTGTTCTAACAAGTTTAGTATATTGAATAATTTTTAATTCATTAATGTTTTTTGACTATGCAATTTAAAGGTCGTAGTGTAAGTTCCAAATATAATAAAGCTAGCATTTATTTTACTGAAAGATTTCTATTTAGAATATCACGATGATCCGCCTATATCTTTGCTTTGCATAATTTGCATATTTTTTGTAACGCTACTGCATGTTCTCTTAACATTTACGATAATGAATCTATTTGATACGTAAAAAAATTGGCTTGGCTTGAAGTGAATTGTAATGAAATCTATTAGCATTATTTAAATATAAAAATTATTAATATATTGATATGAATATTGTAAATTTCGATTATTTTATTAAAATAAAATTAAAATACCTAAAATTTATAAATTTGTTGTCTGTAATCACGAATGATAGTAAATATTTTCTTCATCTCCATTTTTTTCATTACTTTCTTCTTCGCTATTTCTATTTTTCTCTTCATTACTTTTCTCTTCATCACTTCTGTTTTCTTTTTTATCACTTTTATCTTTCTCTTCGCTCTCT